TCGTGATCCTAATACATTCATCATACATTAGAAAACACTTCAATTTACATTCATCGTCAATTTGCATTTAATTAGTTAATTCATTCATACTTGCATATTGTTCATTAATTTAGTTATAATTTCATCAAAACAAATATTCTCATTTTTATAGTTTCGGTTAAGGTCGCGGTACTTAGAATTAGAACAAATCAAACTTCTTGGGAATGATACTTGGACTCAAAATCCACTTTATTACTTGTAACGAACCGTACACTTACAGTGATTTCAATTCGACATATTTTCGTGAATAGAGGGTAATGTCATACATCTTTTTGTTTTGATCTTTTCCATTATTGTTCCATGAATGTCTGCGAAAGATCTCTTCATGGTACCAGGGCTAGCCCAAGTGCAGCTGCAGCTTCACATTTTTTAAGAGTCGAGATGCTTCCGTCTGGATATCTGATCCGACCAAGTGAGGGTGGATGGTCAATCATTCATATCTTCGATCACCCAAATCTCAAGGTTAGATGCGACATTAAACATAATACACTAAAGTTTCTTAGATGTTCCGAACTTAATTAGTAACATGGATCCTATTTCCAGGCTTGAAATGTGCCAGAGGTGCTTCGACGTCACCGAACATTATAGTGCATAAAATGACTATTGCGGTCAGTATGAATATTTAATATCGTACGTAGTTAAGTCTTTATAAAGATCATTCAAAGATTTATCTATTGACTAAAGAGTTACGACCGACCGAATTTTCTACTGATTTTGCATTTACTAACATTACCCCATCCTTATATTATATTTTACTATCCTAGATGCACCACGAAAAATCTACCACTTGGCCTTTTTAGTTCTTTTTCCATGTTGCCAAAATCTATAGTGACCGTTCTTTTTGTATTTTGTTACAAAGGCACTACGATATATCAGGTAGATAACTCAGGAGACGAGTGGTGAGATAGTATACAGACTTGGCCGGCAACCAGCTGTTCTACGCACATTCAGCCAGAGATTAAGCAGGTAGATACCACTATATTTTGAGCCTATTTTGGCTTGTATCTAGGGACATGTAATGCACAACAATGTAAGCTATCTTTTATGTTTGCTGTTGTAGTCGAATTTTAATGGATTGCTATTAATAGAATATTTCTCCTGTGCAGAGGCTTTAATGATGCTATTAACAGGTTCAATAATGATGGTTGATCATATTGAACTCTGACGGGATTCAAGATATAGTAGTAGCTATCAACTATTCCAAAAACCTAAGTACTCGACCAGTCAGAATGCCTACGAGGCTCTTCACATCACCACTAAGAAATTACCTTTCAGTGAAATTATTACTTTCGGCACGAGTCTAATAATATACTTAATCTTAACATGTAAATATCCTTAATATGGTATGCTGCTTGGCAAAATGATGGAGCATGCAAACTGTTGAAGCTATTGTTCTTTCAGCTGTTCTTTCATGGATGTGGAGTATATGTAGGTTTATCAATTACTTGGTATAGGTTATTACTATTTAATTGTGCAGATTTGTCATCCATAATGTAATATTTCGACACGCTAACAATACCTTTAAAATAGTACAACCCGTACATTGTACAGGCAGACGACTAGTTTTACTATAAGCTTAGAAGAAACTGAGGGGGTGTTTGTTTTTTATTTGAGAATTGATTCTCTCAAATCAATTCTCATTTTCAACCACACATTCTTTAATAAAATAATATTTGCCATCACATCAATAATTTTTTCTTCTTTTTCAACCACACATTTCCCATCATATCACTATTCAAAATCAATTTTTCCCCCAAAAATCCCTACCAAACAAGCTCTGAATCAATTCATGTAATAGTCATTTAAGGTTCAACATGTGAAATTTTATGCTGAATAGTAATAGTAAGAAAAAAATATTTTATATGCTATGATACTATCTTGAACCCAAAAAATCTGTAAACGTAAATTTCCATAGAAAAAGTAATTTCGATCCAAGCGACTTTCAGAATGATTATTTTCTTCATTTAAATTAAAAGGTTTTAAAGAACCCCTTTAAGAAATCAAAACTGACCATTGCATACAGTACAATCAAGAAGATATTACAAAGAAATATGTATTGAAAGTTTGCAGCCAACTGCAACACATCCAATCCATAGAACAACACAAAAGTGAATGAACAAACAGAACATTCTTTCCACCCGAATATAAGAGGCTTGAATCTCAGACCCAAAAGACGAGAAAACCGCATGTGAAAGCTTCGTCTTGGTGGTACGTAATGATACCGTGGCATAGATGCGCTCTCAGCAGAGCGCGCGTGGCCGTTTATCCGGACTATACAGTGAATGAACACACACTAATAAAATCTCTACTATCAAATATGAGTATAAATCATCCGGTTACCAACTTTCAGAACCTTTTTTTGGAGCTTGACTTTCTGACAAGACTTTAAAGGGACCGCTAGAACCAAATGGATCAGAGTCGTCAAATGAAAAGCCACCACTATGTCCAAAATCCCTTGTGCTATTCAAGGAGTCAAACCTAGTGATAGTCTCCTGACGGGGAGATGAGATGTTATCCTGCGTACTGAAGGAGTCGTACCTTGAAAAACTGTCAAAAAAGGGATCTCTAGATTCAGCATTGTATCCCGGAGGAGAATTCCCCGCCCTAGAAAGTGGGGACCCAGGAACAGAGTTCTCAAAAGTAAACGGGCTATTCTTCTGGGGGGAATCAGTTCTTGCTGGACTCGCACCAAAATCACTCGACCCAAAGAAATACTTCTCTTCATGCTTCCCATGATCCGAGTCCTGCCAGAGTTTACAATGGTTGGGGGTAACATCAACTTGAAAGCCAAAAATCAGAGACAGGAATCTATATGAAGGATTCAATCCTGAAGTGCAGACAACTAAGCAGGAATGAACATAGACATAGGACGTATGCTATAATAGAAATGGTACTGGCTAGTCCAGGGACTTAATTACTATTTCGTAATAGAAAATAAATACACTAATAATTACTGAAAATGAACACAACATTATTAGATCTTAATGAAATTTCGTCCATGAAATATTATTAAACTTGAAACATTTAGTACCACGTGTTATCCAACGTTGTAGACAAAATCATAGTTAAAAATAAAAGCGTGCGCGTGGAATTCGATTTGAAGTTACATTAAAAGCTTGTTCGGCACAAATTTTTCAAAAATCATTTTTCTCCAAAATCATTTTCAACCACACATTCTCAAAAAATCACTTTTCACTAAAAAAAATTGTGCAAAAACAAGCTTAAAGTCTCACCCTTTACGTGATCCCATGTTTCCTCCCCAATTTAAAGTTACACTAAATCGTTTTTGGCTTCACATGCACGCTTTTTTTCAAACAAGAATTAGGCTGACTTGACATACTAGTTAATGTTGTTTGTGTACAAGTTGTCATTTAACAGTGACAGAGAGAATTTTAGGCTAACATTTCCAGATGAGTGACGATTAGTGTAATCGTTAGAAACATGAGTCACTATTACTTAAAGAATATTACTTCAATGAACATTTTGAAATTTTTAACAAATTTCAGTGACCCTTGTTGACAATTAACCCTGATGTTATAAGGCAGACAAAGACTTCACAAGTCTACTCACCTTAGCATTAAAGCCCCAAACTGAATCAATGTCATCATTATTGTCGAAAGTACCCCATGCAGATTCATCAAAGCTTCTGCAGCGCCGGGAAAATACAAAATGAGGGAAGGAGAGAGAAGATCAGACCCATATTACAGTTGGATGATGGAGAAACAAGCCATTACAAAAGTTGTAGTATGATGTCAGACAAATATAAAGCAATCCAAACCTATGAGTTTCAGCATCTCCATCAGAGCTCTTCCTGAAATGGTTTTCTGAATATTTGGGAGATGGACTTTCAAATGTTGTTTGCCTTGCTGGACTTCCTTGTGGACTCTTTGATTCATCTTCACTGTGTGCATACGACGATTCTGTCTCAAAAGCACTGACACCTTTGCTGAAGGGTTTTTCAGATGTAGCATCAGGAATTGACCCCGAATCAGGGGAAAAGTTATGAGTTGGAGAAGAATTCTCTTCATGAACAGATGTTGACTTAGCATTTGCAGGAACAGCGACATCAAATGAAAATCCTGGTAGCAACAATGTATAGGTTAGTGTCTATATGCTAACAATAAGGGTAACAAAGCTGACTGTATTCAACAGTGAACCAATTGATTAGGGAAGGTTGAAAAGCAAGATATGCCTAACCTTCATCTTCAAACTTGTCCCAGTCTTCATCCCAGATTGACACAAACTCTGGGATCCCAGGTTGCCAACCTTAAAAATGACCATTGTTACACCAAAAGAAGTTAGAATGAAGGGACACCCAGGCACAACATATTTACATACATAATTATTTCTAGAAAGGTGAAAAATTACTGAAATGCTGAACTGCTTGCTGGACAAAGAAATCACAGATTCCCTTCCGAATTTATGAATAAAGATAAGATTTAATCTATACCTTCCGAGACATTCTTTTTCTCTAAATGTGCCAGTTAGCATGCTACTAAATTCTAAAGGTAACGCCCAATATTTACCACTAGAATTATTTTTAATATCAGTATAAGGTCTTTGTAAAGGTTTGTAAGGGTAGTTCATGCGGTTTTTTATTCATGAACTAAATGGACAACCACCTGTCTCAAATTTCCAAAGAGAAGCTGAATGCAGATAAAACAGAAAAGCTCATGCCAACTTCCACTTTATGTGCTTGTCTGGTAGTGTTTTTTAAGTACTTACATGCTCTGTCTTGCGTCTTTTTAAAAAAAAGAACAAGGAAACCAAAAAAAAAGGAAGAAAGAAAACAGTTCATAAAGCGCACCGGCCTTCCTCATGTTTCAAGGAGAAACTTTTCTCTGTATGTTTTCTGTTCTCTTCTTGCTAAAAGTAATCTCTTACGTGCCTTTTGGGATCAAACTTGCAAAAGTGATTTCTTTTTGTTTTTCCAAGTGTCCCCTAGGCTGGACTTTAGGGTGGGTGGGTGGGTGGGCAGTGGGCACAAATAAAACCATTTTTTGATTAAAGAAATTTAGTTTGACCATTTATCTGTGCTACAACAAACATTATCACAAAAACTTATAGTATAAAGCTTAGGAGAAACAGTTGAACTACACAGTAAATTATCAAATTCAGACAAAAATATGTGAGGGATGCTAAAAATTGCAGTATGGAAAAGCTCCCAACTATATAAATAATTGTGTGTAAAATTACATAAAAAGTTACAGAAGATACCTGGCGGAAGCTCAATCAATGCTATAGATTTTATCTGTAAGTCATGTTTCTTGCAACGCTCGGCCATAGCCTTCAACAGCTCCTCAAGATCTGATTGAATACGATCAGCTCGAACCTAGACAGACCAGGAATGCATTTAGTGCTGCATAATTTTGTGAGAAGCCTAAGGTTTTCCATTAACAATTGGAAACACCAGCACTCGTCCCAGCAAAGTTTTAATATTTACCTGAAGAATACCGTCTGCGCTACCACCTTGTTCCATTTTAATGATTGCTTGCTGCAATTCCATTTTTCTCTCCTAGAAATGCATTACATAGAATTCAGAATCAGTTGATAAAATTTCCAGGACCATCATTCTAGCGCCTAGAACAATATGCCAAGTTAAACTTAGCCCCAAAAAAATGCAGATAATATAAATATCTAAAGACAAGCCACTGAAGAAGCTAGGATGAATAAAATGCAACTAATCATCAGCAAGAAACCACAATAGCGTAACAGTCCTGAAAAACAGGAGCATTCCAAGCAAAGAAGCAATAAAGATCGTATCATATATTGAAAACGTCAACAAAAATTTGGGATAGCACAAGTTGACGTGAAAGAGAAGTACAACACAAATGACATTAAATCACCAGTACAACCGTAACACAATCTGGGAACACATTTAAAAATAACCAATGAAGGACACCAGAATTCTATTATTGGGAGAAGAAGGCAGTGATTAGATAAGTTAAATAAGTATGAATGACCTGAATTTCACGAAATGAAGCCTCTTCAATAGTTAGTTTAGAAGCAATTTCTGCGACTTGTTTGTATTTCTCTTCATATTTCTTGGCAAGTAACTCAGCCTGAAGTAAGGGAAAAGGAATGGGCAAGGTATATACAGAGGAACAACTGGAAGGGAACAAATTTTTTATCTGAAAACATACCTCACGCTTATCTGCTAAAGCCCTTTCTGTAATTTCATTAAGACGATTATCACATCTACTTTTGTACAAAACCTGAAGGAAAATTTTAGAAAACAAGGTTATAGTGCAACTAATGAAATTAGCATGCATGATTATAACAATATCAGAAGATATGAAAGTTTTCATAGTATAATAACTCACAAGGTCTTGCATTTTTGTCCGATAGAATTCAATCTTCTCTCTGGAATCCAGAAGCACTTTCTCATTATTTTCAACCTTCCATTGATAAAAGGAACAACTTCAATAACAACAAAACACCACAAAGCACGCTTGGGGCCACATATTGTGAAAGAATGCAAGAAGCAAAATTCCCGAAAGAAGAGGAAAAAAATCCTCAGAGCTGAGGAGAAAAGGTAACTATCTAATCCTCGCAAAAGTCTACCTATGACCAGGGGTGGAACCATACTAACTTCCCTGTGGTCAAGTGACCCAGGGGTTTGGAAACAATAAATGGCTGATATTAATTTCTCATGAAAGTAACGACTGTAAAATTACAAACTGAAAAATGTGCTTCATATTCCAATATCCGGCACTGGTAAATATTAACTTGTTCAAATAACTCAATTTTTGTGACAGCTGGAAATAGAAAATTGCACAAGATATATAACACAACTGGAAATGAATTTTCAAAGCTAAAAAGTAACAACACAACTGGATTCATAAATCTGCAAACATTTCAAAACATAATCTCTCTATCTTGCATTACTCATGAAACTCAACAAGAGGATAAGACTAGATATTTTGAAACCATTCACGTCATGAACATTAAAAAAGACCACGAGAGGCCATGTCTGATGTTGCGGGGGGACTACCTTTTCATTGGATTCTGCCTCTTGAACTTTATTGTCCAAATAATTCTCCTCGTCATTACTGAGTTCACTCGTATAGGAATTATCCATTAGAGGACCTCTAGCATTCTGTTCATTGAATTGCATCAATCCATCAGGCTGAGAATAAACTGTCTGTGTTGGAGGCCTTAAACCAGCAGATGCAATAGGCTGGGAACCATGCGGGAGTTGCTGTGGTCTTATGCCTAAATACCAAGAGAAAATACTCATTCTAAAAATAAATGTGAAATGAGAAATTAAGGGCTTGTTTGAGCCCCATTTCTGGTGTAGAATGCATTTTGGAATAGTAGATTGATGGAGAATGCGTGGTTAAAAAATAAAGAAAAATTTTGGATTTGCGTGCAATATTATTTTATTGAAGAATGTGTGGTTGAAAAGAAGAGATAGAAAAATGCATTTTGAAAAAAATGAGGATCAAAAGGGCGCTAAATATATAAAATTCAATCTGTATCAGTACCAGTAGTGGCCCCCCAGCCCATGCTTCCATAAGAAGCAGTGGGTGGACCTGCCAAAGACAACAGAGTTTCATCGAGCATGACACTACTAGGAAGCACCGATGGAAGTGGCCGTCCTTCCCTGTAACGCTCCATTAAATATAGTGCAATGCAGAACTCTGTCAAAGAAAGCATGCCATCACTGTCTTGATCTGATAAGTCCCAAACCTGCTTTAAGACCTCTGTAAAAGAGACATCCCAAACATATAGGGTCAGCAAGTGTTCAAGACTTTGCTGAAGCATGTGTATTAGAGAAGGCAGAGATCATCACAAGGTGCAACATAAAACTGATTTAAAATTCTGCCTTAGCAAGGTAGAACTAAGAATATTTAAACACAGGATCAAGGAAGCATCAAAGGAGGCAACTTTGCAGACAGCGTATTGCTCTCTGGCCTCTATAATATCACTGTGGAAATCTAATTCGACAAATATAATTTATCCCCCAAGTATATTCACTTAATAAATAATATAAGATCAACAGGGATAATTTTCAAGCACTAAATCGACATGTATGTAATACCCTGAACTTTACATTACACACTTGGCCGATATGATTCATGCATTTCACATTTCATGCTATTTACATTGTCATTTGCATTTGCATCAATGCACATGGATGACGAATTGTAGGGTGATTTTGTGTCTGCTATTTTGGCCCTAAAGTATTTTGTATTATACTTTTGGGGAATCCTAGATTGTATATAACTTTTGAAATAGTATGTAAATACTTTTGTAATCTCAAATTAAATATGTTGGTTACCTCGAGCGGTCAATTTTTATCCTATACATATATGTGTGTATAGTCATCTATGTAAAGGGGGTGTGACAGTGTATAACTAATTAATCAGCACGCCATTCCTATCTAGAAGAACATTAGAACAATAGGATCAAGACACTTTATGCATTTCAAGTCTCTGTTCAGAAAGTAGAACAAGGGGTCCATTGACATGGGAAAAAAAAAACGAGGCTATTGTATAAGCGAGTCCAATAGCTTTCAAATTACTAAGACAAGAAAGCCGAAATTTTAGAAGTGGCATAATCAGAAACATAAACTACACTTCCAAGCGGGTTTCAAGTTGCAAGGCAAACTACCAAATTTATTTCAGTAGTTTCAGGAATCTTGATCAAATAATCAAAATTAAAAGGTTGTATACCAAGGATATTAAGTATCAGCTCTGATCCAACTCCCAAAATGTGCTTGAGCAGAATAATTTCAATTATAAAATTGATCCGAATCTGAGTATCAGAATACATAGTTAATGCAGTATCCCCATCTATGCAGATTCTACAGAAATATATTCCCCGAATAAAATAAACATAAAAAATGTCGAACAAGATGTGTGCCAAGCTTGAAATAAACAAACTCATCATAGGAAAAAGCATGAAATAAAAAATAAAAACATTTATCAGTACCTATTGGTAGTCTCCAACTCAAGAATAGATTGTGCGCCTGCTCACCAGTGATCTTCCCATCTCTGTCAGTGTCTACTTCTACAAAAACTTTGGCATATTTCTGAACGCTCGTGCGTGTCATTTTCGGCCATGAAATCTGAGACTGTTCTGAAGCGGAATTCCCCCCACCAGCTGGCGCTCCAGATGATGAGCCAAAAGAAGTAACTTGAGTTGAAACCTGCTGATTAGATTTTGGCAGAGATGATGTCTGCTGAGGCTGGCCCATAGATGGTTTCATGAGAGTGCTCTGGAAAGATTCAAATGGATCAGGCTTAGCTGAAGGCTGCGCCCCAGTAATGGCTGAGGAGGTAGGAACGCCACCGGCAGGTCGTGTTGGTGTAGATGAACCCTGAAGAGATGGAGATTGGGTGGTAGAGAACACATCCCCTCCAAACATTGAGGACACTGTTGAAACTGAATCTAGCGATTTTGGAGCAACTGGAGGAATTGATGGACTGGCTCCTTTGTTTGAATCTGGTGTTGGTCCAGTAGGAGCAACACTAGTTCTTCCACCAAACCAATCGTTGTTCGAGTTTGGAAGACCAGGACCGACCATATCACCTCCCCTGGGGAAATTCAGACCACCAGGACCTGGAGATGGTCGTGACGCAGTAGCAGCAGACATGGGTAGAGGTCTGTTTGGTTGGTTACCCTGAGAAGAGAAATACTGCTGGATTGTACTCGTGCTCGAAAGTGGCTGTCCAAATTGCTGGTTCACATTTGTACTTGGTGGTACCTGTCTGAATTGCTGGTTCATGCCCGAACTTGAAGGTACCGGTCTGAATTGCTGGTTCATGCCTGAAATTGAAGGTGCCTCTCCAAACTGCTGGTTTATACTGGTACTTGAAGGTGTCAATCCTCTGAAGCCAAGATTATTAGAAAGTGCTGGTGCAGCCGCACCCATCTGTAATGGAGGTGCAGCACCGACTGAGTTCGACTGTGGTGCAGGTGTTGCTGCTAGATTTATCTTTGGGGCAGGGATTTTGCCTGAAGCAGGACCATATAATGCTGCCTTCACAATATCTGGTGTTAATTCTCGCTTGCTCTGAGCCACCGTTACAAGTTTAAGGAAATTATAAAACTCGGGACGGCTGAGATAGCCAGTGTGGCTCTGGTCAGCATGCATCCATATCTGCAACCAAATAACAGATCTTGATAAACATGCAAATGATAATCTAGATCTGCAGATAAAAAAAGCCACACTTTATAGAAACTCAAGAAAGAAGAGTAAAGTAAAAAAGAAGATTAATAATATATTCTCATTTCTCATCCATTATCAGGGAAAAGAATTACCACTTTCATGAAGTACAGAAGATTGTATTACTTAAATGTTTTATTTGGCTGTTTACTTCAACCTTAAGAGATTGTAATACAATTGATGGAGAACCGCTAATAATGGCTTATCGGTACAATCTAACAGAGCTAATACCACTGTAAAAGTTGAAATACAGAAGAAGGTAAGGATGACATTTTAGTACTTCCATTTCTTGGGAAAATATATCCATAAGAAAACCTTAGGTATGTCATCTTGTCTAGTATCATCAAGGCATAATAGAGAAAAAATTTCAAGGAATAGGTGGCATAGATTATCACAGTGCCACATCAGTTCAACAACATACTACCAAGTTTTAACACTAAATGTGTACGACATCGCAGAAGACCAGAAGTCCACTTCATACAAATCTACCAAATCAGATATTTGCTAAACAGTCGACCAAATTGTCAAGTGCTAAGCATCTAACTAAAAAGAACCCAATACTCCTACAAGCGGTACTTGCTTAATCATAAATAAGCCAACTCAAGATTGGATTCAGTATACTATATACTTAAAACACAGATTTGGCTCAAGGCAATTCGAAATAGCACGCTCTGCATAGTAGCTGATCATTAATCATACGGAAAATTCAAGAAAAAATACAGATTCATAAAAAAAGAATAACAGAAAAGAAAAGAGAGGAACCTGAGCGAGGACTTGTTTGGGCAGATTGGATCCCTGTAAGAAAGCAACAGCTTCTGCACCACTGATCTTGCCATCCTGATCCAAATCAGCCCTCCGAAAATACGCCTCAAATTGTTCCATATTTACTCCTCCTGCTACCGCCATTCTTCCTTCCAGATTCTCATATCATCATCAAATAAAATAGCAATTTAATCCCTCCGCAAATAAACAAATCTACTGCCAACAACTAATAACTAAAGTGTCTACCCAAAAAGCAGAATTGGTTTGAAGGAAGAAATGAATGTTTAATTACAAATCGAGAGCAATTGATAGAGTAACAAGGGCTTCGAAAATTGTAAAAGAATTATGCAACCACAGAGAATTGGAGATTGGGGCAAAAAAAAAAAAGAAAGCAGGTTAACGGATCTTTTTCTTCTATTTATGCTTTTGATTTCTGAAGGAAATGAATCAGGTGGGGGTTTACGTTGGCTTCTCCTCCCCAATCGACAGACGATTCTGTACTGAGATCAGGAGAATGAAATCTATATTTTTACAGTTTTGGCCCCCATATTTGACAAATTACGAAGTGGCCCCATTATTTTTCTTTGTTGTTTATTTTGCTAAAATTCTACTTTGTAAGAAATGAGTACGTGTTAGTCCTATCAAAGGGGTGGCAAAAATTAGGTTAAGTAGGATTTGCTATCTTCAATTTTCAGTTTTGTAAAATACTGAAAATAGTTTAGTTTGTTATTTTTAAAAATGTATTTTCGAAAACAAAGATCAATTTATAACATAAAATTCAGAACATGAAAAACAAGCGTTTATATAAAATGCGTTGGTTGATGCTCTTATCGAAAACACAGATAAAATATTCTCAGACCACGTCAATAATGTTTATATTTATTTTGTATATCTTGAACTCAACTTATTGCTTATTTTTATATTACTTTTGAAGTGAGAAAAAATATTGTAAGATTCATTAACTTCAAAATGTATATATTACTTAATAATATATTAACATAAAATTGTTATATTTTTACTAAATTATCAATTTTTGTAAAATAAAATTCCATAACATAGTTTTTCAAAATTTCAAACCAAACGTGTTTTCTAATATTTTATTTTGAGAAATAATTTTTCAAGATAACAAACCAAACGCATTCAATCTTAAAACAGACCTTCAAAGCAAAAAATTGAAAATTGAAACACAAATCGAGCGAACGTGGTGTTTTGACTTTGAAAAATAGAATTTTAAGAGAAAAAAATGAAAGACAAACGACTACCTCTCTCTCTCTCTCTCTATGTATATTTTATTATTATTGTGAGGTTGTGATGCCAGCCTAACCCACTTAAGGCAATGATGATATGGCCTTCGGCCTAATATTAATGCCCTTTATTTAGTTGAAGTGAGCTCGTGAAGCCCAAGCCCAATACCCGATCCAGTAAGGAAACGTGTTTGGCTGATGCAACTTTAGTTGTTCTTCCATTGTTGAAAGCGTTAGTTTCTCAAGGCCGTTAGATGAGTTGCTACCAATCTCGATGCCTTGATATTTTGTGGTATTCGAATGGTTTTCAAATTTTCATTCATTCATTCTATCTCTGTTTCTCGAGGGTTTCTGAAGACTTCTGTGTTCTCTCTTTTCATCTTCTTCTTCTGCTGTGAGGATCGCTTGAATCTTTATTTTTTAGTGTGATTTCTGTGTGAAATTAGGTGAAATGATCAAGTGTTGTTGTTGGTAGTGTTGAACTCTTCTGGTCCATAGAAGAAGCTTCATGTTTACTATGTATCGTGAGGGTTCTTGGGTGAATACGGGTTTTACGGTGTTAAAATATAAGGGTACCTTATTCTGAGCCTTCGATTTGTAATCCTTTGGTATCCAATGGTATTTGGAGATAAACTTTTGTAATAGGGTTTTGAGTTTCATTCGATCTGTAATATTTAGTTTGACTTTTTTATAACAATTATTATTATTATTATTATTTATTTATTTATTTTTATTTTTTTTTGGCTCTCTCGTGTCTTGAAATTCTAGTTTCTTCCTCCCTCCTTGAAAAGAGTAGTAGTTTCAAAATTCCAATCCACTAGTGAAAACATCGATGAAAATAAAAGTATTGCGGCCAGAACTAGTTTAAAATATGATCCAAGCAAAATTTTTTAAAAAATTTGACAGTTGCTTGCAATTGTCAAGACAGGTGAAGAAAAATCGGTGAAAAATATAACTAAAATCTGAAATAAAAACAAATGTTTATCAAAATTGTGTCGGGTTGTTAGTCAAAAAGGCAAGTCATTAAGTGGTTTCAATCACTTTGAGATACTATAGGCCAAGAGCTTATTGAGTTGCTTGGAGAAGTATAGTGAGACATAATTTATATTTGGATTGATAACTAGTTAATTTCATGATTGGCGAACAAGAATTAGCGCCTTGTTTTGACAAGGTTGTGATGTCGATGATTTCACAAATTCCTGGTGCGCAATTTGTCGAGGTTGCTTAGTACTATTTTTTGAATAGTAACACTATAGCACGAATTAGACTAGACCATGGATTAGACTTAAATTTTATAAGCATTATTGCGTAAAGAATTAGCTCCTGATTGCTTTTTATAAAAATTAAAATTTGATATTAAATGTGTGATTGAAAAGTTAATAAAACTTGTGCGCATTACGAATGTGGTTGAAAAGTGAGTTCGGGAGGAAAAATGCGATTTAAGAAATTGAGACCAAATAGGAAGTAAATTCCACGTTTGTAGAGTGGAAGCGTGGAATTTGATAAATCCTCGACTCAAATGAACATTAGTATCGAACTCAAGGGCCCTTTGATACATCGATTAGTGGGATCAATAGATATGATCATATACCTCAACATTTAGTGATGGCTAGCTATACGTGGTCCACACGAACCAATGAAGAAAATATAAGATTAAAGTATTAAAATAACTAAGAGAGAAAAAAAAAATCCCTTTTTAGGTGTTAAAAACATAAGATCAGTGGGTTGTATGATGTAGTTTCACAAAAATGTTTGTGATTTTATATAATTCGAGGGGGTAAAATCCTATCCTTAGTGGAAATTAGACGGGGCACTCTACTAGGCAATAACTAAATATTGAAGCTTGAATTATACATGTCCAATCATGTCCCTCTGGCGGTTCCATAAACTATCTTAAATCAATTGCACAAGTGAACATGTATAAAAATTGAACACGCGTGTGAACGTTGGTTGGTGGTAACTTTTTCAAGTTCTCCATCACTCGTTTATTATAAAAGAAATCATGCGTTAAACCGAATTATCTCATCTCTAAGGTCGAAGAAAAAGAATAATTCAGCGCACTATAAACTACTCATTGGCACCGATACACAAGAAAGAATAGAATCAAGAGATTGCCTAACCCGAGCAAGGGCGAGATTAACCGTTTCAAGCAAGAATGCCATGACCTCAGACTTGAGAGGAATTGACAGATGTAAGAATGAATTGAATACTGCTAATTACAAAGGGAGACAAAACATATGCTGTTGATGGCATGTTTGGCAAGAGCACTAGACATTATTTTGTTAATGATCATGTCCAATACTGCATATAAAACATGTCCCCAACAGTTTTTCTGCAAACTGAAGACAGGTAAGACCTACTGAGAATCTGATTTGTCTTCTGATCTCTTGTATTCAGGCTTGAGCTCATAGGTTCCTTGATTGGTTCCCTTGTTATTGTAAATGCAGAGAAGTTTAAGCATGTTCTTCAGAAATTGCTGCGACAAAAATAAACATCAGACAATTGCAAGTATGGAAAGAGGTAGTGGTTGATGTTCCAACAAAGTAAAACAAAAAATACAACAGAAATACAAGCAAGACACCTAGGCCAACTGCTCATCAAATGACCACAAATTTTTCTACCCACGAGATGTTAAATGGAACCAGCAATAGTTAGATCATACCATCAATTCTTAGGACAGAAATAATTCGTTAACAATTTTATATAGCATCCCTGAGTAATGTGATTCTAAGCATAGGTACTGTACAACGTCTAAGAAATTTGATGGCTCGCCAACTTATGCAAAAAGAAAAAATAAGATCATCCGGTCTTGTAGAAATTAGCAAGGTGAAATATAACCAGGGCAGCATAGAGAGTTACATACCTCAGGCTGATCCGTCTCAAGAATAAGCTGTTTTAGCGTCCAATTTGGCTGTCTTTCAAAAAGCTTAAACAAGATCTTTTCCATTTCTTCGGGGTCCCTTCTCGTTCTTTTCATTTCTGAACCCTTCGTGGCCATTTTCCTTTTATCCTATTTAAAAGCAGAGCTATAAATGTATGAGATGGCATTTTATCTGCACACATTCTGTTACGAGCATAAACAATGGTAAAGTACCGTGGATCCAGAAGGCTTTGAACCAACTGTCCCAAGCATAGGCCTCATCCTCATATGCATTCCACTATCGTCATCGATAAACTGCGGAGCAAATGTTAAATTGGCGGAAAAGAGATTCTACACATCAAAGTAGAAATAAATGAATAAGAGACTTCTCCAGAGATAGAGAAGTGAATGATATTACCTGTGTCTGTCTAGTTCTAGTCATATATTTGTTCGTCCTTTCCCGACATAGTTTTGCATAGTCCTCCATATTTTCATTATGAGGCTTCATGTCGAATTTGTGATATATTTTCCCTTCAACGGAAAGCTTTTTACCTAGAAGTAGAGATTTCTGGTTTGTTAAAAACACACACACGTACAAAAAAATAATTGAATAGATGAACACAAATAAAAACAGAATGATTCAGAACTTAAGTCATCATACTGCACTAATTTAAAAAATTCAGTGTCTTAGCCTCTATTTGGCAAACTTTATAAATCAATTTATAATTGATCAAACTTCATTTTCAACCGCACATTCTAATAGACCAATGAGAACATATTGAAAGAGTGATCACGTCATCTAAGTTGAAGATATGATCATAAAACAAATTAATCTGTTTTCTAACAACTTAATAGCTTTTAGAAGAAATCATTTCAACGTGATGTCAAAGCTCCTTTAGGCTCTGGCCAACATAAATCTCTTAGGTTTTCTCATCAATTAAGTGAAAGGACCCAGTAAACTATTCAAAACTCCAGTAATCCAACAGGGAACAACTTGAATATCTCCATTATGAGTTGGCATCATTCCCAAATTTATTTTTCTACCACTACCGCCAATGTAGCAGTTGGGTGTGCATTGAGATAGAACAGTGCTTACCTTGGCATGATTCAGAAAATACGGACATAGGAACGAAATCGGTGGACATGTCCATAGAGTAGCACTTGGGTATGTTTCCATATGCATTACCAGCCAACTCCATGGTAAACTGATCATCATGTGAACATTTGTGGAAAATGGAGAGGAAAAAATTAGAAGGATTGCAACAGCATCTCAATTTATGTCATTACAATTAAAAAATATATATCATCTCTTCTCCTCAACCTAAAATAAATAAAAGATTAAATTAAGCTAAGCGTCAAGAAAATAAGAAAAAAAAAAAAAAGATGTCTATTGTTAAAATAAGGTGAGACTTATGTAAAGAAGAATGGCATAAGATGCACGTCAAATACCTAGTGTATCAAACTCATTTTCGTATCGTATAAGCTTCACATTTTTATGTAGTAAAACAAAGATAAAGCATTAAAACTTAAAAGTCTCTCCAGTGAATAATCTTAGTCCATATTACAGCCATTATGTCTTTATTCAGATCTACGGTGGCTTATTTAACATGTATTCTTCTGATGTAAAAAAAGCTTGGGTCATGCTGAGACCTCATAATTTGTAAGACTTGCCAAAAGAACAAGAGTAAGGAGATTCCAAGTTTAGCAAAATGCTTAAGATAAAGAAAGCACGATCAATATTTTCAACTACTATTGACAAATTAATATTACACACTCCACTAGAAGATCAGGGACCGTTATCTGGAATTGGTAATCGTATCTGGAAAAGTAAAATACAATAATTCAAGAATACAAATGGCCAGTAAATGGAATTTATTTATTTCAATAACGATCTTGTTCAATTCTTCTCCGGTTCTTTACTTAGCCATCTACCTCTACCATTCACATAAACAAGAGACGCCTTTTACTGGGAAATTATGAAAGTTCCAAGAACATAACAGAGGTCAATGAGAAATTGTATAAACATATTCTTCACAAACCAGCAAAGATGAGTCCCACACCCCCAAGCTATAAATCATACATTAAGATGAAAAGTGGAGGAACCTCTGTAAGATAAACATGTATTGATATTACCAAATCAAGGCCATACACCACCATTCAGATTCCCATTGCTCCCAGGACACACGCAATGAGTAAAAACAAGTTTCACTAGCACACAATAATCTCACAGAAAAATTCAATTTGCACCCTTTGAGGTTTTTAAATTTTAAAATATTGATTCTTCCATCCAGGCCCATGAAGTTTCCGTTTCATTTTCCATTGATGCACAAAACATTAGTACTATTTTTGCAAATATAAGCTTCAGTATGAACGAATATCAAATTCCAAGTGCTTTATGAGATTCTTGTCAAACTAAATACATGCAAGATAGAATACACACAAAATTAAATAAAACAATTACAAAATCTAGTCCATGCGATTAGAAGAAATAACAAAGAACCCAATAATTATGTAATCTGAAATATTAAGAAATAATCGACGGAAATAATTGATTAAATGCAAGAAATTTTTTTGCACTCTGCGTGTTTATATGGGGATTGTGCATAGATACCTGGGTGGAAGAGAAATCGTTATTGGGGAGGAGGGGATCGACGGAGACGATGACTTTGGCGACAGTGGGACCTGAGTTACAGAAAGGGTCTTTGGCACCATCGGCGGAGAAAGGCGGAGGCGGAGGCTGGGGGAGGTGGTTGTTTTGCATGGCGCGTGAGACAACGGGAGGGCACTTCATGAGCCACACGTGTCGCTCCGCCTTACTCGTTTCCAACTGACTGTTGTCCGTATTTTTTGCCGCCGCCGCCACCACATTCTCCGTTGCATTATCTTTGCTGGGTTTCTCCGCCATGGAATGTGGTGGTGCTGGTGGTGGTTTTGGATGGTCTGTAAATAACGAACCGGTGACTACTAATTGTGAGGTGCGTACTTTTCGATTTAATACTTTTTGGGACCAAAATATAATTTGAGTAAGCGCCCGTTTGATGCACATTTTGAATGTAAGAATGTACTTTTACAGTATATGTGACGGGAAATATGTGGTTGAAAAAAATGAAAAGTTATTGATGTGATGAAAAATGTTTGATTAAAAATGAGTAGAATAATTAGAATGAAAAAAATAACGTGGACCAAACAGGATGCATGCACATTTCTATTTTTTCACTAAAGTTAGAAATGAGTAAATTATTTATTTTGATAATAAGTATTAATGTTATTTTTGAATTACTCGGCTTTCTCGACTTCTTTTTGAATTGGGATTTCCTCTAACAAATTCTGCACCTTCTTGTTGATAATATGAGCTTCATTCAAATTATTGCAAATCATGTACTCCGTGAAAGTATTAAGTGCGTAGAAGAATTGTCAATACATTCGACATGTACTTATCATGTTATCCAATAGCCTAAGAGTCTTGTTACATATACATCAAATTTGACATCATGTGTGTTGACAATTTTTTGTACATTAATTTTAGCGACGTTTTTTTCAATCAATAACCAAATTTTCTACTGATACGGGGATGCCATCCAAGATTTTAAGAAGGAATGTATAAATAGATTAACTCTTTAAGATATTGAAACCTTTACAAATTTAATAATTATGTAATTAAATTAATTTCATAATAATTATGTAAGAGATAATCCTAAATTTGTTAAAAGTTAATAACCATCCCTCGGGACTTGGACTACTCTTCTTAAGGCATGTTCGATATGGCTTTGGAAAAGCTAAGAGTGGCTATTGAACTAAGAAATTGCTTTTAATTTATTTAAATAACTTTCTGAAAGTACTTTATCCAACTAAATATTTGTCAAAGAATCAAGTTAATTATGCTAAAGAAAAAATATGCTAGATAATTCTACTTGTACAATCGAGGTTGACAACCTCTCACATGTGTGCGGGGTCCGCGTGTTTAAAAAATTCAACGAAAAAAAAGTGTACCCCCCTCTGTGAGTGGTTGTCAACCGATGTTGTCAACATCGATTGTACAACTAGCATGGTCCAAATATGCCAGGTAATAATCAGTTGACTGTTCGGTAAACTATTGTTTCACAATTGTTGTAAATTTTAAAATTAGCACTCAAGCGTTTGATAAATAAAACTACTTATTTATTTATGAGTGTATACAATTACTAAAACATACATTAATTATAATGATGTCACTTTATATTCCTTGTTCGAGAAAACCTGCATTGCACGATTTTATAATAACTAGGTTTAAGTAACGTGCAATGCACGTTTGCTTAGTTTATATATAATTTTTTTGGTTAAGAATTAAATTTTTATTAATAAAGTTGTAATTTTTTGGTTAATTAAATAACTAATGATGTAATTTTTATATAATTGATAAATAATTACACATTGTGATTTATTAAAAAAAGAGCATTAATAGAATCTATAGCATCATCCTATATATAAACATCGCTCATAGTTTTATGAAAACTGTTTGAGATAATTTTGATTCTAAGATAACGATTCAGCATTTTCCTCATCTTGCACTGCTTCAATAGAGAGGACATTAAACTGCCTA